TATGTTTGAAGAAAATGTCATGGTTGTATGTGGGCTGGGATACTGCCAGGGCGCCCAGACCTAGACAGGAGAACGATTAGGGTCCTCATCCAAAGCCTTTGGCTCAAAAGCCTGTCCGCAAGGCAGCGGGGAGGTGGCAATGATTTAGTTTTACAGAAATGGACGCCATCCCATTTCAAACCCCCAACCGGGAGGACCAGGAGACTGAGTTTGTCTGACGTCTCACCATTGACCAACCTGGTAGGAGTAGCTCTCAAGATGCTCAAAGGCATTACCCAGTATAGCTCAATGGGTCAATGAGGTGCGTTAACCGTCGCACCACGTTAAGGTCCAGTCTCGTTGCGATGGGAAGATATATATTAAACAGAGCAGGAGCTAAGACGCAGCCTTGCTTCATGCCATAGACAATTACAAAGTCATCCGAGGTCTCTCCACTCAGCTGCACCCTCGCTCGCATGCCACTGTGCAGACATTCAATTAAACTCACAAACTTACGCGGGTAACCAAACTCACCCAACACCATCCACAATGCCTCGCGGTTCACCGTATCAAATGCCTTGGTGAAATCAACAAAAAGCGAGTACAATGGCTGGTGTCGTTCTCTGCACTTCTCTTGCAACTGACGAGCAGCAAACACCATATCTATAGTGCTGCGACCCGAACGGAATCCACATTGCTCTTCCGCCACGTTAGGTTTCACAACCTGACTGACGAGGCGGTTGAGCAGGATTCGAGCAATCACCTTGCCCACACAACTCAGCAGGTTGATGCCGCGATAATTCGTGCAACATTACTTGCTCCGTTTGCCCTTGTACAGTGGTGGCGCAAGTGCATCCTTCAACTCTGGAGGCACCTTCTCCTTACTAGCATACACACGTCTAATCGTACAGTACAACCTCCGAAGTTGATCACCTCTAAACCTTGGCCAGTGTTTTCATTGCTTAGCCGTTCATCATGTAGACTCTGTGGATCCAAACCTCTGTTTGTTGACCACTTTGTTCCAATCCCCTGAGTAGTAGTCAACTTACAGAGGTTTTACTGTGTTTCTAACGGGGCAGGGCCATGTGGCCGACTACTGTACCTCGTGCAGTATGTTGTTGGCTTCTGTTTTACGTGGACGGTCGTCTCTCCTTACTGACAGTATTCGCTACAGTCATTCTGAGAATGTGCGCTTTTTGGTTGCGCATGTAGGCTGCGCTTGATCATGGTGCGTCTTCGTTTGCTCTGTTGATTCATCAGGTGGAGAACGAGTGGACCACCTGTTTACACTTTTTCATGTGTCGCTGCAACACCGTGATACCTTCAGACACCTGTCTGCAAAGCAGAGCCAGAAGTTCTGCTTGAAGACCCTACTCGTTCTGCTGTCAAGGTTTGGGCGCCCTGCCAGGATCACAACCAACGTACAACTGTGACTTTCTTCAAACCTCAACAACATCCTGTACCGGCTGTCGCACAGCTTTACAATGGTCGCCTTATTTGCTACATACTGCTGGGCGGATAAACAAAACATGTTACTGTTGGCGCCACCCTTCTTTCTGTTCCACCCGTTTCCACTCCCTCCCGACGACTCCCTTATAAACTTTCATTTTGTAATCCCGCACTTAATTGGCAACAGTTACAATACCACTGCAATTCTACTCTCTGCAACCATGTGCCTGCATCTTTCACTGAACTCCTATCAGCAACAGTCTCTTGTGAGAGGCCACGATGCCCCGTTTCCATGGCAGTGTTCAATCTTCGTACTCTAAGACAATAGGGTGTATTCGTACGCAAGTTGGATCCACTGGGTATTGACGTGTGTTGTGTGTCCAAAACTAGAATCAATGTGATCCTCACGGGGCTGTTGAGTGGACTATACCTGGCTTGTGCTCTCGCATTGGTTACGTACATCCGGAGAGGCTGATGCGGCAGTCACTGATCAAGCTGGGTTGGACATCATCATTACCAACAACCTTATTTCAGCTGCCCTTTATCCTGTTCGTGGTTATCGTTTCGCGACAACTCACTGGTCCTCATGAGAGGGTTGGCTTTTACATGTGTTTAAATTTTGCATCAGGGGCACGAATGTCGGCGTCTGAATATGGTGATTTTCCTTGACTTGAAAATCGCTTTCCCCCGGCATGTTCGAGCCAAGTGTCTATTATGCTCCTTATCCTTGAAGGAAGTGCTTGTAAAATTCCCTTCCTATTCTGAAGTCTACATCGCTCCCATTCCTGTTATGACATACGCGAAGCTGTCTCCTGAGCTCCCCATGATCAATAAGGTTCACGAAATTTGTCTTACATCTCAACTTTGTGACCGGAATGATCATAAATGACTGTCCTCCAAATCTCTTTCGGATTAAAAGCTATGCCAGGTTAACTATGTGAACGACATTGCTCTCTTTGAGTCTGATTCACTGACTATGCAAACAGTGCTGAATACACCGCCGCCGCATACTTCGGCATGTGCTTTGTGCAACGTATTGTTGTTGCAAGAATGGACCCACGCGCTACCGGTCCTCGGTTTCAGCGAACAGCCATCGGAACTGCTGCATCGGTTCACTTGCGATGGCAGTTGTGTCGCCACTGGTGATCATCACAGTGAGGAGATTACCCCGTTTATCTGCAAAACCCGCGTGGATTCGGCTAGATATCAGTCCGTCAGTCAGAGGCACGGTCGTTGTTGCTGTTTGGATCAGAAATACAATCACTTCGTACTGAAGCCAAAAGATTGCTCGTCTTTGGTCACCGGTACTTGCGAAGTCTTCTTCACATTTGGGAACACTGGGTAAGAAAAATTGACGTTCGCCAGCTGGTGTTTCGAGAAACACTTTTAGGTACCGCTTCGTGGTGTCTGTTATGCGCAACCCGCACAGTTGTGTTTGCCAAGTCATATTCTCCATATTCTCATTGACCACTTTCTTCGATTTGCATCATATATATCTTTGCCTCATGAAGTTGGACGAAATCACGAGTTGGCCAGTCGATAACGTAGCATAAAGGCATACAGAAATTGTTGACCGAGAGACCTGCTCAGGTTGATGCGTGCCGCCTTCGTGCATGGAGATTCAGGGATGGTCCACACTAGTGGTTGATGATCCTATCAGACATGGCGCAATCAATGGCGTTTCTGTATTCGGTCTCTTGTATCTGATTGTTCATATCCCATCCAGCTTAATTTTTCTAATTTTCTACACTCTTGTTAACTATCGTTTTCCTGGATACGCGAGTCTTGGCAACTGGATCCACAGCACTTCTTTACCTGACTGAACTGAACTGAACGCATGGGTGCTGTCTTTTTCGATCAAGCTGCCCGTCTTCCATTGAGAGTACACAGAGTCAATACAGATCTGTGTCTTCGTCCACCTTCGCCTTCTATTGTCCATCTCCTCGACTGCACACCGCAATGTTTATGGTGCAGTTATAGTTGTTCACCACTCTCGAATTGCGTGTCATCGCACACGTTCCCCTCTGCTCTTTCTTTTGAGTCCTCTTTCTTATGTCAGAAGGAAGCAGGTTGTCTGAGTGAAGCCACTTTTCGCTGCACGCCCTGCTGTATCTCTCAATGCATACGAACAGACTGCATCACGGAGACGAACCAGGTGACCAATCGGACGCGAACCGAACGCAAACATGATCTGAATTAGAGTTCATCACATATCTAGATTCAGTCAGACAGTCACCACACTCCCGGAAATGCACTGTATACGTATATCATCAGCAGTACGCATTCCATCTGACCCCTATGGGGCTAGAACCCTCAATCCGAATGTTACCAGTCCGTGAAGGTCACTTTACTACTAGGGACGGTAACAACTGTCTACGCGACTCCTCCGACTGATTGGTGCCTTAGTTGTCTGCGCTCCAATCAACCTACGGCTCTTCTGATCTGTCTGAATCAAAGACAAAACTCAGTTGTTTTTATGCGCAACCGCGGCGTCTCGGGCAATCCAAGAATATACGCCCAAGCATTAAGTAGCGCGCATATCGTCTGTTTCGCTAATCCACTTTCGCGGAGCAAATCCTTTGTCTCCGATCGACTGATTTTGGCGCCACGATTATCTCGATCACAAGAAGGCAGCATACTGTTGCGCCATTCAGGTCATTGTCTAATAAACTCAACTAACACCAATGCCTAACGTGTAGTTGCTGATGTTTGGTATGATCGGGTTTATCACCCATGTTCGTAGTGCCCTATATGAACACCTTGTCTTACAGCACCATGCTGCCTGTTAGTAAAAACTAAATCGCCAGCTGTACGCCATAACAGCGCTTCTCTGCCACGCCACCACCACCAGTCGCGCTTGGGCTGAGTATACCGCGAGGACGCCCGCCCCTCCGCGGATTCGAACCGATGACCTTATGGTTGCAAACCAGATGCGCATACCACTTGGCCACCGGCCGACAGATATCAGAAAATCCTGGAAACCATCGGTAGGTGGGCTAGGGAATAGAGACTATCGACCCTATTGGAGCGCTCCTCGTTTGTCACCTATCATATAGAGCTTCCGATTTCTAAGATGATCCCATCCAATGTGCCCATGCGTTTACCCACTTCACGATGTGCACATTGGGCGATTGCATACTTAGTTCGGTCGGTCTTGTGGCTACAGTTGATTCTTTTTGGTACTCTAACTCAGCACACTATGGCCACAAGTTACAATAAACTGGGCGACTCAGAAATTATCACAAGTTTTTGATCCTATAGCTTCTGGTGATGAAGCACTTGAGGCAGGCATACTGTTTGACCTTGAACTTGGACAGTCTGGTCGGAGTTTTTCTTCGGTTTAGTACGTCGTAACTCTTCCTTGTTGTCATTTTCACGCAGCCTCTCGTTCCTGCATCGTTTCTGATTGTTTACTTTGTATCAGCTCCTTGCCAACATGACATCTTTGTTTTTGTTTATTCTTGATACAAACCCCTCTCCAGGTGTTCGTACTTATGTTATTTCGCGGAATATTGATTTATCATACTGTGCTCTTTTAGCAACCGTTTCACTCTTATTTCCTTTTCTTTCAGGCCCACTGATAAGTGCAGGTACATACACCGTTATAGGTTGCGGCTCATCCTCGCTAGAGTCCGTTGCACTAACTGACTCACCCACCTCCGTCCCTCACAATATTCCCATTCTCGGCGATCTTCCAGGCAGTCAGCTTACCACGTCCTTCGAAAGTAGCAATTTCTTAGGTCGCTTACCTCCCCTACGTGTTGTGAAAAGTGAGACTGAGCTGGTCGCACCGAACGCTTCTTATTCTGGACAAGCCGATTCCTCCATCTTTGCATCGTCCCACTTGTCATGTCCATCCACCGATATGCCCACAGGTCCCACCTGGCTCGTGCAATCGCAGGGAGCTTTCGATGCCGATCACTGTGCCCCGGACCGTGTCATCACGGGCACATGTTATCCAATCTGCTGTCGCACTCCTCCGACAATGCTACTTGATCCACTGTGCTATGGCAACGCGCCTTCTATTTCCTCCACCGCTGTCGTTCCAATGAAGTCCGAAAAACATCTATCCGACGCTTTTGAGTCTCGTGTCTACGCAGAACTCGGTAGCGTATCGTCCATCACTCCAGCCCGTGTGCATTCCCCGACGATCCGATCGCCGCCCTATAACTTAAAGGGCGAGATTCAGTCGGAACCACGTACACCTGTGTTTTGCGCCGCAAACCCCACTCCATTCTCCGATAGTGAACAATCGGTCACCGCCGTCGTTCACCTGAATCTTCCTTCGGCTGCTACCCCAGTCACTGTTGGCTTTATCGCCTCTCAATCGCCTCTGGATGCGAATCACCTGCCCCCTGTGTTGTCGCCCCTGACACGTTTATTCCCGGCTGACCACACTGCTTCCCCACATGCGCTGTCTAGTCCAATCGGTTCAGTTCCATCCCAGCCTCACCGGCATGATGATCGAAGCCCAGTCTTAAGCCACAAGAGTCATCCTGCGTTGGCTAATTCTTCCAAGCCCGTGATTCTGCAGACTGTTCAGTTCGCATCTCACCCCCTCCCTCCTCGAACAACGAATGGAAGCGACCTGTCTAGCTCTCCGGCTCCACTTTTGCCCCACCAGCCGCCCACTGCTTGGACACCCGCATCGGGAGTTGTCCTATTCGATCAACATACGGACAATACGGCACTGAGTTGGCCGAACTCAACCTCTACTGTGAGACAAAAATCCTCCACATATCTTTACGAAGCCGTCCCTTCCAAGACCTTTAGCCTTTCGGCGGTTCCCACCACGGTATCTAGACACAACTACTCTCCGAGGCCTTTGTTCTCTGCGGGGAGCGTTTCCCCGCCGATGAACATTACCATACAACATCATCAGAATCATGCACTGGATCAACTCAAGGCAGCTGCCAATCAACGTCGTCCTGGACCACAATGTTTTCTCCCCACATGCCAACAGTCTCTTATTGTTGCTAGTGACGGAAGATACGTTTCATTGGACCCCTGTACCCGGCTCGTCCCACGGGTATCCTCTTCGGTGACCAGAAGGGTGAGTCGGTTTTTTATTGCTTTTCTCCGATTTCCAGTCTCTTGCATGTTCCACTCCCATTATCTCTATTCGGAATGCACACACGCACCTATAAGATGTCGATGGACGGTCGTGGTTTGTCTCTAGCCTATTGTTTACAACATCTTAGCCACTCTTTCCTGGACTGGTGTACATTTTACCCCCCAGACTACGAATATCTATGTTACATTCTTCAGAAAAGACATTTCACAGTTGTATTGTTCTTTGCCCATTCTCTCAGCACTCTACCCCCGTCCGGCCCGTCGTGCTAAATGTGTCGTCTCATCCTGATATGGCGATAGACAATCCTGTGCCCTCTTCCACCCGATGTCGCCCAGTCTACGCCTATACCTCCAAACAACCCAGTATTACGTATGCCTCCATTCAGACTGCTACCGGCATCGCATGCTCCTTTTCAGCGAGCGTGTTAGACGTTTCTGGTGGCTTCCAGCAACGAATACAAGTCATGCCTCCACGTTCGCTACATCCTGCTCAAGTCACAATCCCTCATGTCGCTGCAGCTGCTTCCCGGTTGCCCATGAACAGTTCGCCCATCTCCACTGGGCCTCTCACGGGTAAATCCCGAGTTGTATCTGTCCTCTCGGCACAGGCCCCTCAAGCGGATAACTTGCGGGCCAACACAAGACAACCATCCGGAACAGGCGGCGAGAGCACTTGTGCTCCTCTTGGTTTGACTGGCTTGGGCACCATCTTTTACACTTGTGCTGTGTGCAACGACCAGGCCTTCGGTAAACATTACGGTAAGTAAAGACCGGTTTGCATATTTGCTTGATGCTCTTCCATTTCGATAGTGGTTCTGGAGTTACTTTACGCCCTTGTGCTCTCGTTTAGTTTGCATCACCGTAGTTCCGTTGAAAAGTCAGGATCAAAGTTTCCGTAGCGCTGTAACCACACCTGATTTGCTGTCTCAAAGACGATTTGGAGCATTATTGAATGGTGCGAAGGTCCTTATGATGGACAAACCTAGACCATTTTAGATCACTCGGGTACGAATGTTTCTGCTCGCTTTATTCACGCATCCAAGGCAAACTCTCATCAGTAGGGGGCGGAGAATTAACTCACGTCAAGTTGTGCAGTAGTTGGAGCATTTAGAAGAACATCTCTCCACTCTGAATCACAATTGTTACTTGGGTCATCTGAATTTGCTTGGAACTTTCAAGTAGTAACAAGTGTAACTCTCGGTAAGATCCGACACGAACAACCAGTGCTACTTAGGCGGAATGAATCTACAACGACTTTATACTGTCTTTGCTGAATGACGATGGCGGATCACTAATTAACATCAGAAAGCCACGTCGTCTGGTTGTTATTCTATTATTCTTCCCAAATTTCCTTGTCTTCAAGTTACTCTTGTATAGCGACTAGCTGCTATTGATGCATGTCCAACCACCGTTAAAGAATGCATTGGCTGCGTCTGAACTCTCCACCAGGCACTCAACATAACTCATTATCGTTGTTTTCTTTGACTTTAAAGTCAGATTTTGGCGATACCTCCGGACAATATATGTCTACTCTAAAATCCTTGCTCCTCGTTTCCCTATTCGAGGTATTGAAATGCTGCTTTATTGAGAATTCGTTGATCTGGTTTATGCGGAGGGTGCCAGCTAAACCTGAATGGCTTCTCTAGAGTATTCGCTTTGCACCTTCAAAGTACAGGACCATTAGCCGGTTGATGCCCTTATGACTAATGATTACGAATAGATAGACGCAGCTGACTGATTCGTCGATCTTGCCTGCTGCATTAGCGGCTGCCGTGTGGCTGCGAAACCTGTAATCTGTCTTTTCGAATTCGCGATGGCTGTGGTGCAATAAGGGAATTTCCCTCGGTCCGAAACGTCTTGTGTGCAGGGTTTTCGAGTGGACATTTCAGTCCCAGTGATCGACTTGGTCAAGACTCACTTCAATGGGAACTGTGGTCCATTCACACGTGTACTTCACAATGGTCTGCCACTCACTGGTGTGTGCAGCTTCACAGTAATGGCTGCTCTACACTGAAGGAGTTCGGTGTTGTTCTTCCCAGCGTTGACATCGCGTAACCGGTTTCGTCCTCGTTTGGACTCATCGGATGTAGATAGCCTTAGCTGGGGTGGAACTCGGAGCCTAGTGGTTAAAGACTGACGTCTTGATCACTATGGCTCTAAGATCCGTGAGCAACGCTTGGCACAGCGATAAGAAATTCAAAGCTCGATTTGGAGTACCCGCCGTGTGGTTGGATTGCGACATACAATCTCTATTCAGATCTTGGTTCACTTTGCTGTTCTACTCTTTTATAATGAGGATTCTTTCCTTTGCTTTGAGGATCCGATGCACCTTTCTTGTCTGCGGAGCGTTGTTGGTGTCCGATGGCACCGGCGTGTCCGCAATGATGATGTGCCAGGGCGAGTCCTAGGCGGTGATAGGCTACTTCTTTAGAACGACCAATATTATTGATTAACTTGACTTAACTTAGACCTGTGCTATGTATGGCTGTTTACCAGATGTTGCCTAGCGCAACTCTCAAGGTAATGCAAAGTGAACTTGGCCGCAGGAAATGAAACCACTGGAGTTCGTGTGACCCACTTTGTGACTCGGTCGACACCAGGGGCACAACTGCCGTCGTCGTCTAGTCGGACTGCGTGTTTGAGGTATCTCTGGTGCCGAGTTATCTGCTGTGTACTGGCTGATTATGATGCGGAACAGTGAAAACTGCAGAGAACATTTTCGCCGATGTTATCGCCGCACGGGATATGCACCCTTAGTCCGAGTGTTTCCTTGGGACTTTTAGGTTTTCCACTAGATCTCTTTTTTACCTTCTTAATATTCCCTATTCGGTAGATCTTTGTAGTTGTACCACAGCGATATATCGATTCAAATGACTTATGTAATGGTCCTTCTTTCGGGGAACTGCCCTCTGCGTTCACCACAACAAGCGGCATGCATCGGAGCGTTTTATCTTCATGATTAAAATGATCATGGTCAGCTTTCCTAATTTCCCGTTACTTTCGGAGTAGGTGTTCCGGTATATTATCGATTACCATACTGCGAATACGTGAGCGTCATTTTATCTACCTGTCTTACACAGCTAATGTACTAGCATCGCTCAATAGGCTGATTTCTCATCACACACCTTAATCTTTTCCTCGCCCTGTCAAGTGGGAAAATTTCTACCGAAGAAAGCGGATACCATTAATAGTTCTCACTATCACTGAACGATCCCTCGAAGAGGTAGATCTATCGATTTATCTGGGCATCACCTTTGGCAGTCTGCTCGCTGCTACATCCATGGGCTAGGCTCCTAGAGATAGCGATTCAATGCTTCATTCATTTAGACGAACCGCGTAATATCTGCTTAATAGTTACTGAAAACGCTTGCCTCGCTGCAGCGTGGTCAGTGTTGACATGCGCATTGGACGTTGAAACCATTAAGAGGCTTGATTTTCGCTGTTAGTGATACCTGCAAGTTTTTGTCCATGTTTGCTAGGGGCATAGGATGCGTGGTTCTGAAGTTCACCAATTGACCTTTATTGACAAGTTCTCTGTTGTTATCCTCACTACGCATACCTGCAGGTCAGCGCTATCTCGGCGCGTATTGTCTATCTATACTGCATCTCTTCACATGAGAACCCGAGATGGCCCCAGTCATTGAGATGGGAAACACACCGTTGTAACCTTCTTGCAATCGGCGGTCACTTCAGTCGTTGGATGCTATGTCCATTTTGGCATAACCAACATAGACTCTCCTGCATTCGTTTCTTTGCTCCCTTCTGCCGTTTGTTTCTTCGATCCACGCAACGTCTTTGTCTATTCCTCTTGAATTATTTCTATCCATTGCCGATGCCAATACAATGCACTATTTTCGCAACGGCAGATAAGATGGATAAATCAATTGCACTTTGTTTCAAGTTGATCACTTGTACCTATCTACGAATGATTTTAGATTAGAACCACTTTACTGGTTACCTAGTAACCATTGTCATCCGACTTTGTATATGCTTTTTTATGCATTTTGTCCAACGAGGATTTGGCTTGTACGGCGATATTAGACAAGCGACCAAACCATTTGTGATGCTTTGTTGACTTTCATCAGCTAGTCACTAACATTCATCTACTGTTTTGTGTTGGGAATCGAAGAACTGGCTTACAAAATGAACGTCTATTAGTTACCGAGTGCGTCTCAAGGGTGCGAGCCAGGCATGTCTGCCGTCCGATTTGCATCCGAGTGTAAACATCGAATACTGCTTGGCCGAATGGAGAAAATCTGGTGCCTCGATGGAGTGTGTGAAGGCTGTGTCCCTTGCCACTGTCTACTCAGGAAAGGTGTGCCCGAGAAATTTGTAACATTATGCGAGCGTTATACTCGCGTAGTTCTGGCAGAGTGAGGGCTTGCGACAAGCTGCCGCGGTCTTCAATATCTCTAGCGATGTGAGACAAGGTTGCCCGATGTCACCATTCCTCTTCAACTTCGCTATTGACGAGGTCATAGAAGCAGCGTTCACAGGACACGACTTAGAAGGTGTGGAGCTGTTCTTTACTTGAAGTATGCTGACGATACTACCCTCATTTGTGACAGATCCCAAACATGCCAAGCTGCACTGGACAGATTAGCACTGGCTGTCAGCCGTTTCGGACTTTGCTTTGCAACCTCCAAGTGCAAAGCTTTCCTTCAAGATTGACAGGGACCGCCTCCTACGCTGACCCTTGGTGAGGATCAGCTAGAAGTCGTTCAAAAGTTCAACTACTTAGGTAGTTGTATCAGCTCCCTTGGAATTGAAGACGAGGTCACAAACCGCATACCAAAAGTTCGAGGCGCTTTCGCTAACTTTCGTCACCTATGGCGCCGGCGCGACATCACTCTCTCCGTGAAGGGTAGAGTGTACAATGTAGCCATACGTTCGACCCTACTGTACGGTTATGGAACATGGCCCATTTGCTCGACAGACATAAAGAAAAGATTGATTGCGTTGCAAACATTCCTGTAAAAATCGAATTTCTGTCTTCGTCTCAGCAAGTCTGGCGTTAAACTTCAAGTACTTATTGAGGTCTTTTAACGCTGCGGGCGGCCTGCTTTTTTCAATTCGTGAAATATGCTGACACCTCGGCTGAGTTGTGTGTTGCTATATCTATGGGCATATTTCACGAATAAAGAGAATAGTTACGTTCGACCACCGGTGCCTTCGCAGTTTGGTTCATATCTGATGGGAACATCGTGTGAGCAACGAGCATGTTCGACGCCTTGTTTATGGCGCAGGAAGAAGAAACCAACCGCTCAGCGCCGTTATTTCACGCACCAGGCTCCGATGGCTGAGCCACGTGTTGCACTGACTCCCGCGACCTGCGTTGTTTGCGCGCCGGGGGTGCGGAGAAGTGGCCAACCGATGATTTGGTCAAGTGGAATGAAGGCCTTTACTTCGAACTTGGCCTCGGTTGGTGCGTCTCGGCTCCTTAGTTGGAGACCGAAAGACGTTGAACACGTTTGGGTGAATGCACTTGTTGACATGGCTAGGAGCCGACCTCAATGACTTTTGTGTTGTGAGTTTCTTTGCCGTTTCCCCTCTAACCACGATCTCAATTATTAGCCATAACATGACTCTTTTTGCGGCCCAATAGCCAGATGTTTGCTCCATTGAACGATGTCCATCTGTTACTAGTGACTCAGCCGGCGTGCCTTTGTTGCATGTTTTTCCCTTCTTTTGTATTGCGGCACAATAGCTAAAGTGTTTTCCGTCTGCAGCTAACGCGCATAATAATGATAATGACCACA